AATTAAGTCATTTGGTAAAGTTGAGATTTATGCCTTCTGAACTGCTTGACTCGGTGAAATAAGCATGTTATTCAAAACAACATCAAAAGTTGTGGCATTTGGTGAAGTTGAGATTTTAGCCTTCTGAAGTGTCAAACGAGCTGAAATACGCATTTTAGACAAAACCGCATCAAATGTTCAGTCATTAGGTGAAGTTGAGATTTTGATCTTCGAAAGTGCTGACCTCATGAAATAAGCATGGCATTCAAACCAACATCAAAAACTAACTCATTTAGTGAAGTGAGATATTGGTCTTCTGAAGTGCTTATCTGAGTGAAATAAGCATTTCAGTCCAACCAGCGACCAAAGTTATGTTCTTTGGTGAAGTTCTGATTTTTGACTTCTGAAGTGCTTATCTCACTGAAATGAGCATGTTAGTCAAAACAAAATCTAAAGTTGAGTCATTTGGTGAAGTTGAGATTGTTGACTTCTGAAGTGCTTAACTCGCTGAAATATGTATTTTAATTCAACCAGCATCAAAAATCAAGTCATTTGATGAAGTTGAGATTTTTCACATCTGTAGTGCTCATCTCACTGAAGTAAGCATTATAGTCAAACCAGGATCAAAAGTTATGTCCTTTGGTGAAGGTGAGATTTTGGTCTTCTGAAGTGCGTTTTCCCACTGAAATAAGCATGTTAGTCAAAACAGCATCAAATGTTGAGTGTCTTGTTTAGTTGAGATTGTGGTTTTCTACTATGCTTATCTCGCTGAAATAATTAGGTTAGTCAAAACAATATCAAAAGTTGTGACATTTGGTGAAGTTGAGATTTGGATCTTCTGAATTGGTTATCTCACTCAAATAAGCATGTTAGTCAAAACAACATTAAAAATTGAGTCATTTGGTGAAGATCAGATTTTAGTCTTCTCAAGTGCTGAACTGACTGAATTAAACATCTTAGTCTGACCAACATCAAAAATCAAGTCATTTGATGAAGTTGAGATTTTTTGCATTCAGAAGTGCATATCTCACTCAATTATGCATGTTAGTCAAAACAACATGAAAAGTTGAGTTATTTGGTGAGGTTGAGATTTTGATCTTCTGATGTGCCATTCTCAAAGGAATCAACATGTCATTCAAACCAACATCAAAAACCAATTCATTTGATGAAGTTGAAATATTGGACTTCCGATGTGATTATCTGAGTGAAATTAGCGTGTTAGTCAAAACAGCATCAATAATTAAGTCGTGTGATGATGTTGAAATTTTTGAATTCTGAAGTGCTCATCTCACTCAAATAAGCATGTTAGTCAAACCAACATCAAACCTTGAGTCATCTGGTGAAGTTCAGATTTTGGTCTCCTGAAGTGCTTATCTGAGTGAAATAAGACTTTTAATCAAATCAGCATCATAAGTTAGGTCCTTTGGTGAAGTTGAGATTTTAGTATTCTAATATGCTTATCTCGCTGAAATAAGCATTTTAGTCAAACCAGCATCAAAAGGAGAGTGTCTTCATGAAATTTTGATTTTGGTCTTCTCATATGCTTATCTCGCTAATTTAGGCACGTTATTCAAAACAACATCAAAAGTTGAGACATTTGGTGAAGTTGAGATTTTGACTTCTGAAATGCTTCTCTCAATCAAATAAGCATGTTAGTCAAACCATCATCAAAACTACAGTAATTAGGTGAACTTCAGGTTTTGGTGTTCTGAAGAATTTCACTCGCTACAATAAGCAATTTAAAATAACCAGCTTCAAAAGTTGTGGTATTCGTTTAAGTGGAGGTTTTGATCTTCTGAAGTGCTTGCCTTATGAAATAAGCATGTCATTCAAACCAACATCAAAAACTAACTCATTAAGTGAAGTGAGATATGGGTCCTCTGAAGTGCTTATTTGAGTGAAATAAGCATGTCAGTCAAAGCAGCATCAAAAATCAAGTCAGATGGTGAAGTTGAGATTTTGATCTTCTGATGTGCTTATCTCAAAGAAGTCAACATGTCATTCAAACCAACATCAAAAACTAATTCATTTCGTGAAGTTGAAATATTGGTCTCCCGATGTGATTATCTGAGTGAAATAAGCGTGTTAGTCAAAACAGCATCAATCATTAAGTCGTTTGATGAAGTTGAGATTTTTGAATTCTGAAGTGCTTATCTCACTGAAATAAGCATGTCAGTCAAACAAACATCGAAACTAGAGTCATTTTGGGAAGTTCAGATTTTGGATTTCTGAAGTGTGTAACTCGCCGAAAGAAGCATTTTAATCCAAACAGCATCAAAAGTTCAGTCATTTGGTGAAGTTGAGATTTTTGACTTCTGAAATGCTTTTCCCACTGTAATAAGTATGTTAGTCTAACCAACATCAAAACTTGAGTCATTTGGTGAAGTCGAGATTCTACACTTCTGAAGTGCTTATTTCACTGGCGGAAGCCATTAGTCAATCCAACATCAAAACTTGAGTCATTTGGTGAAGTTCAGATTGTGGTCTTCTGCTGTGCTTATCTCGCTGAAATAAGCACGTTAGTCAAATTAACATCAAAAATGGAGTCATTTGGTGATGTTCCGATTTTTGTCTTCTGAAGTGGTTGTCTCGCTGAAATAAGAATTTTAATCCAACCAGCATCAAAAATTATGTGTTTTGGCGAAGTTGAGGTTTTTGACTTCTGATTTGTTTATCTCACTCACACAAGCATGTCACTCAAATTACATCAAAACTTGAGACATTTGGTGAAGTACAGATTTTGGTCTTCTGATGTGCTTAACTCCATGAAATAAGCATTTTAAATCCAACCAGCATTAAAAATTAAGTCATTTGGTAAAGTTGAGATTTTTGCCTTCTGAAATGCTTAACTCGCTCAAATAAGCATGTTACTCAAAACAACATCAAATGTTGAGTCATTTGGTGAAGTTGAGATTTTTGCCTTTTGAAATGCTTAACTCACGGAAATAAACATGTTATTCAAAAGAACATCAAGAGTTGAGTCATTTGGTGAAGTTGAGATTTTTGACTTCTGAATTGGTTATCTCACTCAAATAAGCATGTTATTCAAAACAACATTAAAAATTGAGTCATTTGGTGAAGATCCGATTTTAGTCTTCTCAAGTGCTTAACTCACTGAATTAAACATCTTAGT